TTTTTAGGCGTTTTTTTGTCATCTTGATTTTTCGAATATTCAGTAAACCGGATTTTTACAACCGAATAAACCGTGTTTTCACCCAGTGTTTTAATAAACTAGAATCTAAAAATTTTAAATATTTATTGAAAATTTAACTTAGAATTTTTTATAATTTTAATTCAAATACTGCAAAATTTCCAAAGGCAGAAAATAACTTCAAAAATAAAATGATAACCGAACTGAAGAAGTGTGATGATGAGATGTGGTGATCTCCGAAATAGCCATCACTTCTGCCATTTTTAACCGACTTCACAAAAGGAGAAGGTTATCAATTCGTCGGAATATTTTTTTTTTTTTGTGTATGTTACCGCATAACTTTGGACCATTCTTGATTCTCGGTGAATGTCTATTTACAATATTCTATATATATATTTATGTATGTAAAGTTGGTCTGGTTCAGCAATTAGCGTGACAAAGGGCTGTTGTTTTAGCGATCGAATCTTGTAAAAGCTATACCTATGTATTTTTAGCAGTTATATTGTAGTTGATATGATTTCCGACTAAAAGTATTACTGCATTGAAAATATTTAAAATATAGCCGGTTTATCAGGATTTTCCTTAATTTCGAAATCGGGCACCGGGTTTTTCAAATTGCTATTTTTCGAATAACTCGAAAACCGGCTTACGAAAAAAGACGAATAAATAATCGAACACGGTTGCAATGAGTCCGCCATCAAGATACAGGTATAGATTCGAATTGGTGCATAAAATGCGTAAGATGAAGACGTTACGAATCCAAGACTTTAAATCAGAGGTGGGCAGCTTCAACAGAGAATTTTTGTAGTGTGCGTGCAATTGATGTCACTGTGTGCTGTTCGCAGTCGTGCGGACAGGCGCCACCCAGGGCTGCTTTAAATTAATTCAAAGAAATTAAGTATTGTTGAGAGCTGCGTACTACAATTCCGAAGGTTCGATCTCCGACTCGCGCAATTGTCAATAACTTTTTATCTTTTCTTATTTTTTTATTTTAATTTTTAATGTCTTTTTTTGGTTAATTTTATTTCATATTTTTTATTTTATAAGTGGTTCATTAAAATTTTGGGAGCTTAATTGTATTTAAAAAGTTCGCAACTACCTATAACTATATAGAAAAAAAGTAGTAATCAAATGAGTTAAACAAAATGAAATAAAAATTCTACTGGACTCGAACCCACTGACATCCTACCAGTTGCTGACGGGAGTACACACACACACACGAAGAGCGAGGTCCACGTTTGAGTAAATGGTTTGAAGTTCTGCAGCTCTTAGTCATTCCAACAAACTGATAGCACTCTTCCGATCCTCAATTTTTATATTGCACCAGGCACGAAAGTGCAGGTATTCTTCTGAAAAATTTCCTTCTAATTTTGCAGAAAAAGCCAGTTGTAATGCTTTCGTGTTTTCTTCGACTTCAACCATATAGATTTTAAAGGTTAAGTATCGCAGTTTCGAGTTTACGCGGATTTACTTTGGGTCGTGCGTGTTTTGTCACCATCAGTGTATTTTTTACCATATTGGCCGCCATAGGTACGGGCCTATTCGGCCTTAGGTCAAATCCGCCACTGTACATACATACGGTAAATAATATACCCCACAATTCAACCTTGACTTTTTGTCAAAACTTTTGCGCCTAAAACTAGTTGAACATAACCAGGACAGAAAAAAGTATTTACAGCTCTAGCAAATATAACACTGAAGATTGAGTGGAATTACTAGAATCAAACTAAGTAATCGGAAGTCACTTATGGTTACATTCACAAGCGTATCTGCGGTAAAGACGTATACCCCACCCGCCTTCACTCATATGCAGATACTGGGGCAGCGCTGTAGCCAACCAGCTCAATCAATTGAATAAAATTGTCAGCATATAAACGTATGTAGTAAGTAACACCAGATTACATATATACTCTGTGCATTGAATGTAGCGAACAAAAATCTTTAACTTTCAGCGGGCGTCACAGATTGTGGCTTTTTTGCGCTGATAAAAGGGCACCTTAAAGCAAGCAGATGACACCGAGAGACGCGGCAGCTGCAGTGAAGATGGCCAATGTGATTGCGAGTGCGGACTCGTGATGGCCAAGTGCAATTGCTGCACTCGGCAGTGTTGGGGCAGAGTTATTGTTAAGTGTTGTAACCTTTACACTACGAGTGTGCCACATGCTGAGCGCAATATCAAGCTGAGCGCTGGCCAACCAACAACGCTACTGAATAAAATTTATAAACAAAAGGTGCACAGCGCGAACTGGGATTCATGATACGGCTTTTGTTTTCATTCCACATATACATATTTACATATTCCTGCAATATTCTTCCTGGCTAAAGTACTCATCGCGGGCTAGCTACTCGGGGAGTGAGAGGAATATTTGCTCATACACACCCAGCAAGCATAAGAAATTTGGCAGATTCACGCGAACTGCAGCCAACAGATTCATGAATTAACCAGAAGGGATTGAGTAATTAAAGAAACACGCCGTTTTATTTCGCTGTGGTCATTGCTCAAGCCAGCGATGAGCTCAAATAAGAGAAGATAACAGACACAACAACAGTGACAACAAAATCAGTAGGCAAATTGTTCGTTTCGGGTGGCATTTCAATTGCAATTTACCAAGAATGACACCTACACACATTTCCAACAGCAGCCCATGCAGCGACCACCTTCATTGCACTTGCATATATTCATACATACATACATACATGCATAGCACGTTGAAAGCAACAACGATGCAAGNGTCAAATCGGCAGGCCGCCATCGAGCATACTTCGCATGCGGATTCGGAGCATTCTGAGCGCGGCGGGCCGAATTAATTCATTCATTCATGACTTGGTTCCGTTGAAACACTAAACCAGTGGCAACATGCAGTGGCAGCAGTTAGCGGGGCGAATCAAGGGGCGGGTGCTGGCGACTGCTTGACGATGCAAATCAACAGCCAATAAGCAACGTACGGCTTCCTCTACTTCGTTCCGTATCTGTGCGCCCGACATTGCTCTAGCAAAGCGAGTGTGTGGGTTGCATGATATGTGCCCGCGTTGCATGCAACATTAGCTGTCCGTTACTAATGAATCATTTTATTGTGTTGTTGCTGATGGGATACGACTTCTGCCGCAGCGGATTATGGCTACTGTTTTCTTCAGTGCGCTTGAGGATCACTGCGGGGTACCGGGGTACCGGAGGGACGCACGCGAGTATTTTTCGCGAATTAATTATGCACACCTTCGTTCACTTCCGAAACTGTTTTGCTGTGTGTGCGCGCTCTTCCGAACTTCTCTTCACTTGCCTTCTTGCTGCCACATGTGCGGCGGTGCGGGTCTTGATCTCTGCACCACTGTGTTAATTGCTGGTTCGGCCTGCCCACCCGTCTAGTTGATTGTACAATCATGGCAGCGAGGGTACGGCGATACAGACGCAGGCGCAGATAAGAACATTCGAATGGCTTTATTTAGTGTGAATTTGTTGAAGTTTTGGTTGGAGGTGCCTTGTTTGCTGCCTTTTTTCTTTCAAAATGCTTTACTCGGACACTTGATGATGGTGTAGTATCAGTGTCAGGATTCTTAATCCTTTGAGACTTAATTGGGCCACACAGCGCCATATTTACAGTGTTGGTTTAATGAAACCAAACTAATTTGCATATCAAATAAAAAAAATGAATGTGGCTTAAATGATTAGGAGTTTAATTAACTTAACGGGCATGTAATGCAGTTCGCTCGAAAGGACCACACATATGAAGTTAATGATTACCTTTTGTTATTTCTTTAATTGATTTTTAAATTCCAATACACAACCGAAAGCCAAATGCAAAGGAACTACCCACTAGAACTTGAAGGGAGATCTGCCAATGTGAGGAATAGAAGAGTACTCCTTTTGGCCTGATTTCGGAGCAATAGGGGAGATTTGTTGGTTCTGACCTCCTTTGTAACTTGCTTAGGAGTCCAATCGAGGATCTCCTAAGTGAGCAGCAAAATAATACTCCCTGAGGCATGATTACGGAGCGATAACTGAAATTTGTCGGTTTTGTACTCCGTTATTACGCGCTTAGGAGCAAAAAGCGATGTCTCCTAAGAGAATAATCCAGGAGTATTCCTTTTGATTGATAGGGGAGCTATAGGCACCTCTTTCAAAAGAAATTGTGCATTATTGGAAAAATTTATCATAAGGAAAACTACAGAAAATATTTAATATAGAAACAATATAAGGAGGGTCCAATAATTAAATGTCGATAGCACACATTTAAGTGAAGTTCCGTCGGTATGTATTGCAACCGTAGGTTAAATTTATTAAATATGCTATTATATAACGCTAAATACTTTTCAGATTGAGCGAATTAGTATCAGCACTTACGTATGACCCCCTAGTTTTAACGTTTATGTAATGCCGGTCCAGGGCTTTTACTGGGTGACATAGATATCACCGTAAATATTATGCCATCGGAAAATGGCTTTTTTTTCTCCGCCCTTATGTATATAGTAAAAAAAATATTTTGAATTGTTTTTCTGTCATACTTATAACCCGTATATCCCACCCATCTGTCCACACCCTAGTGATCCTCCTTTCGTCTTCCACTTCCCTTACTTTCTCTTTCTCACGTTAACACCATCCCTGATACAAAAGCCCGAGCGTACGGAAGGGAGCCGACAACTTCACTCTTCTTCACTTAGCCATTTTTGGAGCATACATATAAAACCGATTGGTATCAGTGAATACCTTAATAAAGAAAAAAAAAGTAACTGCCATGGATAACTAGATATGAAACTCTCTCATTTTTTCTGAGAGCGCGCCCAGGAACTCGTTTTCGTACTTGGCAGCACTGCCAATCCCTGGGCAGATAAACAGCTGACACGCGAACTGGCGAGCTACCACTAGACGTGTGGAAAATCCATCACATTGAATTCAGTGGATTTCTTCTTCCCGCATTTTTTTAATATTACTATAAAACAGTATTTGTAACTAAACGCAATTTTCCTGGCAATATAAAAAGTGAAATATCAAATAGATATGAAGAATATTGCAACTTTTGTTCGTTGTGTTTAATCAAAAGTTTCTCCATAAATTTCTCTATAAATGCCCATACATGTTTTCGTCACAGTGGCTCTACTGGAGAATGTTATAAAAAATACACACTTTGACAGCGCTCTCACGAGAAAAAGAGTTTCATATCTAGTTATCTATGTAAGTGCGCCTGGGCCACACTGGAGAAGTGAAACTTACGTTACATACATACTTATTTTGTCTCATAACCAATATACATACATACATATGCCATACAAACACGATTGAGAGAATACAAAGGTTGCGCCGATCTCGGACCGCTATTCCTCTCTTAACGAATTTGAAAGAATCGTTGTTTGCATGACGTCACACTTGTGAAACTTGTTTACGTTTTCCTTGCAACATTTTTTCTTCTTCTTCCATTCTTGCTCACGTTTTGGCATTTCTCTCTCGCAATTGCACCAGTGTGACGTCACACAAAAGTTATTCTCAAAAATCCTCTCTGATCGGCGCAACCTTGTATTCTATCATTCTTGCCATACATACACACATCTGCTTTTGCTTAAGGTTATATTTTTTGTCTTTTTTCTTTCTAAGTAGATACCTACCTCTACCCCTGTTCGCTCTAATTAGATTTATGTTATTCTGTTTTCCTTTATCTTCATTTTTATCTTTATACTCTATCGATAACAAAATCGATAGTGAAATCCAACGAAATATCGATAACAAAACCGATAAAAATATCGATAATAAAATCGATGAAAAATTCGATAAAAATTTCGATAATATTGGTAGCAAAATCTATTAGAAAGTTGATAAAAATATCGATAAAAATATTCATAACAAAATCGATAAAAATATCCATAACATAATCGATAAAAAAATCGATAAATACAGATGAAAAACGATAACAAAATCTATAAATATCGATAGCAAAATCGATAAATATCGATGAAAATATTGATGCCCAAATCGATAAAAATATCGATGAAAGTATCCAAGTAAATATCGATAACAAAACACACTGATGAACCGTTGCACCATTTCCGTGTGCAATTTCCGTTGAATTTGCCAATTTACTCCCAACCAACCAACCGCCGCTGAAGAAGTTTCATCTCAAAAATATTTTAACTTTTTAATCGGAACTCGAGCGTTTCATTTTAATAAGAAGGAGCAATTTCGCGTTTAAACATTTGTCATGTTTCATATTCCATCCTGTTTTTAACCGACTTCCAAAAAAGGAGGAGGTTATCAGTTCGTCGGAATTTTTTTTTTTTTTTTTTTTTTATGTATGTTACCGCATAACTTTGGACCACGTCAACCGAAGTGTCTCAGAGGTGGTCCCATACTAATCTGCTTAAGATCCGATCAGCGGATCATGAGATATATATACAGTGTTATCTGGCTGGAGTGAACACCCGATGCTACGAACACCTCGAAAGAGTGAACATGA